CGCAAGAAGGGAGCCAAGCTCGTAAGTGGAAGGAAACACATTTACACTACCCCTTGCTGTGTGTAGGGAATCAGAACTCATTTGTGTAACTTGGGCCAGAGAATGCATCTGTTTAGTTAAAGCCACACAAAGATACCTCTAGTAATTCCAGATCGTGATACTCTCGGGGGTCTCTCAATGAAGATAACTTTGTCCAGTTCTGCTACTGAATGAAAGTGATGATAATGTGACTCTGAGAAAGACCTCTTACCTGCACCCCCTTACTCTGCAGTTTCCTAAAGTCCTAAACACTTCAGTATCATGAGTTAGTTTTCTGTCTTTATTTATTTGAATGCTATTTAAGAGTTCCTGTAAGCACCTTTTCAATTCATATGAGCAGTGACTCATAAGCGCTTCAGATGCCCCTGTAATGATTAGTACATTTTTATGCATGTTAGAATCATCTTTCAGAAATGCATCGCAATTCTTTTAATATCTTGCTAATTTCTTTCCATTGTTAAGACTCCTGAGGAAGAGGAGGTCAAAGAGGACCCAGAAGAAGTACGCAAAAAGACGGCAAAGATCAGCCCCCTCTTGGAGGAGCAGTTCCAGCAGGGAAAACTGCTTGGTGAGTCTGAACATCTGTAGTCTACTGTAGTGATGGTCCTTAAATCATTACATTGACTGCATCACTGGTTAATTTCCAACCAAGCCACAAAGATCTACAGAAAACTAAATAGTAGAAAATGTCCCTGACGCCTCTATACAGTTCTGTCTGTGCTGGTGCACGTCTCTCAATGAAGATAACTTTGTCCAGTTCTGCTACTGAATGAAAGTGATGATAATGTGACTCTGAGAAAGACCTGTTACCTGCACAGACGTCTGCTCCATTCTTACTTTCACCTAGTCTGCTGAAGTTACACATTTTACATTTTATTAAGGCGTTTATTAACAAATCCTTAATTTCTCTTATTTAAATTAAACGTTACAGTATGATAAAGAGTCAAAGTATTAATGCCACAGAGCTTGGGATCCCTATAAAAATAGACAGGTTTTGATAGTGTTTGTTCCCCTCAGCTGACATGTTGTCTCTCCTCCTGCAGCTTGCATTGCATCCAGACCCGGCAGGTGTGACAGCTACATCCTGGAAGGCAAGGAGCTGGAGTTCTACCTGAGGAAGATCAAGGCCAAGAAAGGCAAATAGATGTTCAGCTGTTTGATACGTCAATAAAATCCAAGTGCTCCACAACTGTCTTGTTATTGTGTCCACAATTTTAGTTTAAAAAATATATATGTTTTGCTTTTCCTGCCTAGAAAGCAATATGTAATTATTACAACTGAACAGAAACAAACTGCACTAACTTCAAATGAATTCTAACCATCAAAGTTTTCATGTATTATATAAAGCTATTTTTGCTCTCTACATGAATGAACTATTAAAAGGCACATAACATCATTGTTTAGTAAGGTATAAGGACATTTGCAGCTGCATTCAGAATTTGTCTTACTGCGCTGTTACCATGGTGTTAGGGGTCAAAATAAGCGTCATATATGTGACTGGTTAGGTAATGACTTCATGATATTATGTGCTCTACACTAGTGAAATGCCAAGAGAAAAATTAATGGAGAAGTATTTATCTGTGTGGGAGTCCTGGGATGTGGCTTGGGGAGAGGGTTGCTAGTCCCCGACATGTTTGGTTATGAAGCTAGGCTTGTTTATTTATATAGCCCCTTTCAACATAAGAAAGAAATGGGCTGAATCTAAACTTAATAGTAGCACAAACAAAAACAGTATGAATCAATCGAACTTGATGTGTTTTTTTTCTATGTACTTTTGTATTTAGAAGTCTACCCCTGATGTCAATTTTAGTATACAACATATATGATCATATATGTTCTTGAATAAGTAAAGGGGAAAATAAAGTCAACGACAACCCTGGATACTACTCCTAATACTAAGGTGGGTTACATCACGCAGTCTTAGTTTTACTGTGTCCATGTGTAACAATAAAAATCGTGAAAGAACATATACAAGCTGTCATTACCATAATGTTACCAAACATTTTCCATACCTATGGATATAAAAAGTTTAAGTTAGGTAAGGAACTGGGGGAAAAGTCATTTTCCACATGCCCAGGAACGACACGTGATCAATCCCGCGGCTGTGATTGGTTGTCATATATGTGGGACAAAGGTTGTGGTGGTGTTGAGTCTAGTTATACGTGCAGTCGGTGCTATCAAGACACATAACAATGCTGCTCAACAAGGTACGTGTCTTTAAATTAGCTTTAATTCAGCAGGGTATTTTAAAAGCTTTAGTTATGTTCATTTGATGCACATAGCTTGTCTTATTGTCCTAATGTTTAAATTGTTCGTTTAAATCAGAGGAAAGTTAAACTACGTCAACGGCTAACGTTAGCTAACAGCGTCAACAGTTCTAATACATTTTAAAACCGACGTTACAAAACAACGTCATTGTCTCTACGTAATGAGCATAAGATAACGCTAAACATAATAAGCAAAGTAATAGTATGTCTTTCTGCACAAATTATCAGCTAGCTGGTCATCTTTGAAACACAGCGAAGGTCGTTGAACAAAACTCAAGTAACTGATATCCTTATCCGGTTATTTCAGACAGTTCTTTAACATACAAGGACTTTCCTTTTTATTATTAGTACATGATTAAAACATTATACATTGACCACATTTAAAAAGCATATAGTCAAGGTATATGGTACTTTCCATCAAATGTTACGTATGTGTCCTACAATCAAACTAAACATTCTGGCATGTAAACCTACATTTCTTGCAGCAATATAGCCAAAAACATTGTGAGCTGGGCTGTTGTGTTGTAATGAGAACAAGGGCATATGTTGGTCATTTCTTCATGGCTTGATGTGAAAAACAATTGGGCCATGAGTGTTTCGGTTTTTATTGTGCTGCATATTTATAAAAATGTTTGACCCAATACGTTAGAAAAGTCTTTAATGATTCTATTTATGCCTTCACTTCAGAACTAAATTAATTTCAGTGATCTCTATGTTTGTCAAACTTTGTGAGGTGAATACTTTCAAGTAGCTTAGCTCTGAATCAGAATTCCTTTATTTGTCCCACAACGGGGGGGAGGTGTACATTACAAAAGCAGAAATATAGTGCAGATAAAGTGAAGACAATAGTCCTACATATTAAGAAATGAAAAATAACTAAGTATTCACACTTTATTATTAATTAAAAAAAAAAACACATAGCGGATAAGTAAACCATGGTAAAAAAAAAAGTAGCAGTGTATATCATTTTTTTTTTTTTAAAAGAGACCATATAACATTCATGAGGTAGCTTGTACTCTTTGCCAATGGTAAATACATTGAGAGGAAAATGCTAATATGTTACTAAATTCTTCATGAAAACGTTACCGGTGTGGAGGTGTCCTGTTAAACTGAGTTTGTTGCTGATTTCCCCTCCTTTCCATCCACAGGTTCTCAAAGCCAGCGTGCGGTCGGGGATCCGGCTGCAGAACTCCGCTGCTGCTGCCAGTGCTGCTACATCTAACAACGCATCCCTCGGCTTCTCATTTGGTGAGAAGGAAGTAGAATAGAAGATTAAAACCTATCACGCTATCATTCATGACCAGTTTCCCCAGTTTTGAAGTTACTGATTTTGTGTTTTGCTGCTTTGACCCACAGAGCTGTCTGAGCAACAGAAAGAGTTCCAACAGGTGGCGAGGAAGTTTGCTCGTGAAGAGATCGTCCCTGCTGCAGCGGAGTATGACAGGAGTGGTGAAGTGAGTATAATATATTCAATTATAATCTTATTCAATGTTGTTGTTTGTTTTTTGTTCAGATTGTTTGTCGGTTTATGGAGCTGTGTAGTATTGGCTAAGGAAGAACCCTTTATCTTATGCCATTTCTACACTGTAGCTTATGTGCATTAAAACCTCTGAATCTTGAATCTTTAAATATCTGCACCGATCCTTATCATGTGGCGAATACATAGATTTGTTTTTGCCTTGTTAGTGGTCTATTATTTATCCTTCAAAGATTTGTTTTGTGCTGGTGTAACGTGAATGTCCCCTGAGAGTGGTGATCATATTATTTTCTGAAAAGATTGAATAACTCTTCAATGTCCTGTTTTGCAGTATCCTATGCCCATCATCAAGAAAGCATGGGAACTCGGTTTAATTAACGGCCACATTCCACAGGAGTATGGTATGTTATTTATTTGCTGATTGACTATTTCATCTTGTCTCAGATTAATTTAAGTATGTTTAAATGTTTTTTAATTGAAAACAAGGTGAAGGTTTATTAATGCCTGTGTAAAAACACCTTACTATGTGTGTCCCTTTGTAATCAGGTGGAATGGGCTTGACAATCTTTGACAACTGCCTCATCACAGAGGAGTTGGCTTATGGCTGCACAGGCATACAGACCGCTATCGAAGCAAACTCTCTGGGAGTAAGTAGTCGTTTTTCCTGCTTATTATTTGAAATCAAATCACAAAAATATAGTCCACTACGATGGTCATTTTTCAAAACTGATTTGCAAATCCAACATTTAATCATCTGTTTCTCTCTCACAGCAAATGCCTGTTATTATAGCCGGCAATGAAGCGCAGAAGAGTAAATACCTGGGTAGGATGATGGAGGAGCCTCTCATGTGTGTAAGTATGAGAAATAACACCGGCTTGTTGATGTTGATAGCACACATATTAAAATAGTCTGTTTATCTGTAAACAATTCTTCATCCAAGGATGTAAATGACAGAACAAATGAATAGCCACTGCCCTATGTAAATCATTCACTGTGTTATTTGTATTAATGCAAAGATTACAAATAACACAACGTGAAAACAGGTATAGCTCTTTCTTGCCTCAGATCTGACGGGGTTAACTGACTGCTGGGTGTTTTCTGCAGGCGTACTGTGTGACGGAGCCCGGTGCCGGCTCTGATGTGGCCAGCCTCAAGACCCGTGCTGTGAAGGTGGGAGATGAGTACGTTGTTAACGGGCAGAAGATGTGGATCACCAATGGCGGGAAAGCAAACTGGTATGTAGTGTTTCTCTTATCTTACTACTCATATGTTGATAAGAGTATTAAAAACGTTCCTCTAAGGTGCATTTAGAACAGATGACATTTTTTTAAATTTTTTTTTTTTAAAGTGCGATTTAAATATTTGAATCGACTGACAGCCCTAGTTTGTGATGCTACAAAGTCTGAACATGATAACTTTGGTTAAAGGAGGCTTTCTTGAAGGACTTTGTATTAGACTGCTTTTGTTTAAGCTAGGTGTATCTAATAACCTGTCAACTGATATGTATATGTATGTATATCCAGCTCATAAATACACATGCATCTGTCCGTTGCTCTAAGTTTCTTTTTTGAACTTTTCTACGTCTCTTATACTCCTAGGTACTTCCTCCTGGCCCGGTCTAACCCAGATCCTAAATGTCCTACCAGCAAGGCTTTCACTGGCTTCATTGTGGAGGCTGACACTCCTGGAATTATAGTAGGAAGGAAGGTAAGATGAGGCTCAATTGTTCTAGGAATGTAGTTTAATAGCTAAATGTAGTAATGGTACTTTGCAGCGTTGCATGTGTGCTCCAAAAGGTGTGATAGTACATTTTAGGAAGTAACAGAATATACAAACCGATGCCATTTTTACAATTTATCTGGGAAAAGTCACCTATCCCCAAGACTCCAAAGGAATTATTTTGAATGTTATTGTTTGAAATCCCCTAAATGTATATAATTCACCTGTACATTTAACGTTCTTTCTAGAGACAGAATCTTGCTAAATGTCCCTCTGCTTTGAGACTTATTATTTGTCTCCTTGTGAGCTCCTTATGAACTCTTCCTCCAGACTAATGTTGTGTATTTGTATAAAATAACTAGGGCTGTCAAGTTAACGTGTTACACACACACACACACACACACACACACACACACACACACACACACACACACACACACACACACACACACACACACACACACACACACACACACACACACACACAGAGACAGTATTGTATGAGAGAGGTTCCAGGTTGAATTGAGGCGAATATTTGTAATGTTCAGAGGTTGTTGTGTTTAATATTCATGAGAATATTTGTCATTGTTCAAATGATAATAAACATTTGCATAAAGCATATTTGTCCACTCGAGTGTTGATAAGAGTATAAATATAGTATAAGAGTATAAATATATAAAACTTGAAAAATATTCCTCTAAGGTAAATTTAGAACAGATAAAAAATGTGCGATTTAATTAACTACGGATAATCATGCGATTAAATATTTTAATCGACTGACAGCCCTAAAAATAAATTAGATTTGAATTGATAGGAAAACATCTGCTATCCAGTCAGAGTGGTCCCATCCTCCCAGTGTTTCTCACTGTGATATGCACACCACAAGATAACAGGGCTATCGTTTGTTTTGTGCTTGTAGGAGTTAAACATGGGCCAGAGGTGCTCCGATACCAGAGGCATCACTTTTGAGGATGTGAGGATACCGAAGGAGAACGTCCTGATCGGAGAGGGGTCCGGATTCAAAATTGCCATGGGGGCCTTCGACAACACAAGGCCACCGGTAAGTCTCCTAACTGTAACTGAACTTGACATTTGTAGCACCATGTATAAATGTCTCTTGTTTTTCATCTCATATCTGATATTATATTGCTACATACAAACAATTGGATACCAAACGGTTCATGCTAATGTTTATTTATCACTGAAGACATGTATCTAATTAATGTGACTATTGCTTTGCAGGTGGCAGCAGGAGCCACAGGTCTGGCACAGAGGGCGCTTGATGAAGCAACCAACTACGCAATGGAGAGGAAGACCTTCGGAAAAGTTATTGCTGAGGTTGGTTCTCTTCATTTCATTCATCAGCAGAAAACCACACGTTCCATCACAGGCTTAGAACGCTGATACATCCCATTTGTAGTTCAATGGATTACAGAATTTACTGAAGAGTGCTGAAAGAATGACTTTTCAACTCTATAGTTTTCAATGTGGTTTTGTTTTAGTAAACATATATTTTAGTTTTACAGTAGTTTGGTTTTTCTTACGACTAGAATAAATACATCTTGCTCTTCTCATTGAATTCCATGAGACTAGATTGCATATGAAAAACAGCAGGGATTAACTTTGATAAACGAAGCATAGCGCCATCTCCTGGAGTGTCTTGTTTGTACCATTTCTTTGGATCAATGTTATTGAAATTCATAGAAAATGATACTGTACTAATATATTTAAGCTAAAAAATCAAATAGCTTTTTTATTTTCATTTTTACTAGTTTTGAATCAGATCATTTAGTTTCAGTTGAAATGATTTTCTTTTTGGATATCATTTATTATTACATTTTTCGCTGCTTGTTTAGCTTTAGTTTCAGGCATCGTGTTAAAAGGTGAGTAGAGGACTAATAGGCCCCTCTGTCTCCTCCTGTCTCACAGCACCAGGCCGTGTCCTTCATCCTGGCTGAGATGGCCATGAAGGTGGAGTTGGCCCGGATGGCGTACCAGCGCTCGGCCTGGGAAGTGGACCAGGGCCGCAGGAACACGTACTACGCCTCCATCGCCAAGGCCTTCGCCGGAGACATCGCCAACCAGGTGGCCTCTGACGCCGTGCAGGTGTTCGGAGGAAACGGCTTCAACAGCGAATACCCTGTGGAGAAGCTGATGAGAGACGCCAAGATCTACCAGGTGGGTGCTGATGTTTCAGGGATTGCACCTAAGGACATCTAGTTAATTAATTATTATTAATTAGGGATGGGTACCGTTAAGGTTTTAACGGTACTACTACTTTTATCGATGCCGCTTATCGATCCGGTCTTTTAACGGTACTCTTATCGCTTCTTTTGAAGAAAAAGAAAAAGGTAAATTAACTACAACATTTACTACAAATTGTAAATAATGTGAACTTACAGAACTGTAAAAAACAAAAGAAAAAAAGTATTTACTGCATAAACACAGTGGTACAGAGCAACACAGGTGAGGCAGACAGGTATGCTGCCAAAGGCCTAACGGTTCTTCTGGAGGAAAATTGAGGCATACATAACACCTGACGTGGAAACGTTACTCGTGGATGGGGCTACAGAGCTACTAGAAAGACAGTCGAGAACGGTGCATTTCTCCGTCTGAATGTGGTGCACTTTTACAAAAAATTTACAAAAAGTAGCTTGTGTTACCGCCCTTAAATGCCAAACTCATATTGCACTTTTGGCAACGAGCATCGTCCACCTCAAGACGGGTAAAGTTTAACCACACCTTGGAGCGCTTAGTTCTCTCCGCCATCTCCGCCGTGTGTGTGTGTTGCATGCATGTAGCAGCTGCGTGTGTGTAAACCGCCCCACCCCCTCACACACAGACGTGAGAGAGAGAGAGATCTCGTCTGGATTGGAAAGATCGAAAATAAATCGTTGACGCATTTTGTGGTCTTATTGCATATTAGAAACGGAGTTGGCAAAACTAAAACTGCAATATAATGTTCATGTAGCAATAATACATATGATATATATTTTTTTAAATGTCTCCAGTACCGATAAAAAGACCGATAAAGTCGGAGCTTAAAGGTACCACAGTCTTCAATAATTCCGCCCTGGGGCCCGTTTAATACAGGGGCTCGGTACCCATCCCCATTTGTTATAGAAAACAAGCCTGGAACAGATTAAAAATGTCCATTTAAGAGTTTGGTACCGTTTGTTCCTGCCATTTATTTTTCATGTTTCACGTGGGTTCATGTGAGCACTGCAGCAGTCTAAGGCCCTCCCAAAATGCTCTCATTGGTTGGGACGCGATAATAACACGTTAACTTGCCCAGCCCTATTATTCATTCATTCATCTGCTGCTCTGTACAAGAAGGGACAGAGCAGACTCTTTCTGCTGAGGAGACTGAGGTATTTCGGGGCGCAGGGGGCACTAGACACCTTCCCCCCCCGTTTGCAATTTACTAGCGGTAGTTACTTGCGAATGGAGGGGGAATTCCTAAAGCCACCTACACGTCGTTACCATTGAAGAATGAGTGTGATGCGCACGCAGCTTGCCCAAACCGAAAGCTATGTTACACTCTGAAAACTAAAAACTAGGTTATAGCCATAAATATGATGATGGATTATCAGTAATCATTTCAAAGTGACAGAGACATTGGATTAACCTTCAGCAGCGTTTATATGCGTTTTAATGCCATCTATCACAACTTTTGATCAGAAAACAGCAAAGGTAAGACGTATTTGCCGTTTTGGCTACCTAAAGCTAAGTTGTGTGTTGTCTGGTTTATCCTTCGCTGCCCTGAGTTTTGGTCGCACACTGATGATACTTATATAATTGGAATCTGTGGAAGCTTTCATGTGATATCTTGTTTGTGCAGATCCCATGAAGTATAAAATATGTCTACCATGAGTTATGTGTTAAGTGCGTTAGCACTCTTTCGCTTAGTGCTAATTCAGAGGCTTGGCGTTAGACTTGTGTTTTGTTTCGGTAAAAATTGTTCATATCATCAGGTAGCTGAGTTTCTTCCCGTTAAGTGGGTATGACACATTCATACTTTGTTAAATGTTAAGAAGCCCTCAGACACTGTTTCTTGCAAGATGTTGCGGGAGCCCCCGTCCCCGGTTACAGGTTAAATACCAAGCAACTATGTGCTATATGTGCAATATATATTTATGCCGTTAATAACTGTGCAATATATACTTGGCTGCTAAATCCTAAGAACTGTTACAGGATGTGTATTTTGTAAATTGTGTAACTTTTTATAATTTTTATAATTATATTTTGTATTATATCATAACCTTTTTTTTTTACTTCAATACTTTTGACAATAATCAAGAAACATCATAAATAAATCACTGGCAGGGAAAATGTCATTGCAGTATCATTACTTTTACATAAGAAGGTGCTGTACATTTTTTTAATACTTGCGTACTTTTACTTAAAGTGGACCTATCATGCTATATTTGAAATATATATATCGTAGGGCCTGACCTATAAAAAACATGTCTGAAGTTTTTTTTTCAAAATACCAAACAGATCACCCATTGTAGCCATCCCTCATACTGCTCAAACCCCTCTTTTGCAGCCCTGTTAGAGAAACGCGGATATTGGGTCCTTAGCTTGAAAAAAAAAAGAAGAGGAGACGGAGCTAATGCCTGATCAGAATTCTACTGGAGATAAAGTTAAATTTGGTTGTGATAAAAAGCCATCCTGTTTAAACCACGTCAAAGATTATTTCTGAAATAGTATGGAGCTCAAATGCTTTTTATCTTGCAGGTTTACCACAAGGTGAGTTCCTTTTTTTATTTCCTGCTTTTTAAACACATGTGCTCTTTAGTACAGTTTAGCTCTGAGTGTTAGCAAGGCTTGCTAATGTAAACAAAGACGAGATACAAAAACAAAAAACAGGCGACAGAGTCTTTGTTAACGGGAAACCATCTGGATGGTGCCCAGTTCTCAGTGGAATTCCACAAGGTAGTGTCCTGGGTCCTGCACT